GTGGTCTACAAGAGCTAGTTTCAGGGCAGCCTCCAAAAGCCGCAGAGAAACCCTGTCTCGAACCCCCCCCTCCATTCCCCCCCAAAAACCACATAAAATAGCCAGTAGTGGTGATATGCCTCTGTAATCCCTGCACTCCTGTGTTTTTGTGGGAGGTGGAAACATAGGAGTTACTAGAAAACTGGCAAAATTAGAAACAGAAACTAGTAACAAGGTGGGAAATAACAAGCAACTTCTGAGGGTTGTTCCCTGGTCACCACACACACACACACACACACACACACACACACACACACACGAACACACTAACATTTTTAAGAACAAGGTGGGCAGTATCTGAGGAATGGCAATTGATAATGACCTACAGACATTCTTCACATGTACACACACACCCTTACTGCAGGCATGAATACATCCATCATGCACACACACACAAACATGATATGGATTCCTGAAGAACTCTTAGAAATAACTTTCTAAGTAGCATGTTGTCTTAGGTTTGGAGAAATAGCTAAGTCCTATGTCTGGCAGGCAAAAGGAAGTTGACTGTCACACCAGGTGGTATCCTGAGCATGGAAAACCTCAAAGCCTGCCCTCACAGTGGTACACTTCCAACAACGCCACACCTAGTACCACTCCCTATGAGATTATAGGGGCAATTATATTCAAACTAATGCCCATGTCAATTGCGCAAAGACTAATTCTGGTTGTTTATTTCTTCATATCTGTAGTTTTCTGGTTTACTGTCAGAGTTTACAAAGATCTTCCACAATTTCCAGGGTGAAATAATTGAGACTGTGGAAGTAAAACTCAACTTCAGATGATTATCTAAATGCAGTGGGTGGAGCTGGAAGGTTCAATGTACTTTGGTTGCTTTGCCCTCATGTCTCCCAGATGATCATTGCCACTTGGGATTAGAGACTGATGAGTGAACCTGAGTGATGGATCTGCAGCAGGCTCCTGGGAGAAAACACCATTGAACTAGTGGACATTGGGGTGAATTACCACCACTTTCTCTCCTACCTGCTATTTTTCCCCTCGTTTTATTTTTCTGGATGATTTATTATTTTTAAAATTAATTTATTCTTTGATCATTTAATATATGTATATAATCTCTTTTGGCCCCCTCATCCTTCACCCTCTTTTATCCTCCCCCCAAACCCACCTTCCCACCCCATCCTTCCACTAAGTCCCCATCTCACTATCATGTTTTGTCTTTGCTTTGTGAGCCACTATGACGATGTCTACTGATTCATAAGTAACTTATCAGTGGTTATATCCCTAATGACAATTACTTTCTTTCTTCCAGCATCTGTTCCCCGCTATTATCTCCTCTGCTGGAGTAGGGCCCCAGGAGCCCCTTCCTCATCTAAGACAACAGTAGAATCTTCTCAGTAGGGTCTAGGTCCCCAGCCAAAGGCTACTGAACAGCTTTACAAACATGTGGATTCCTTCTAGGGGAGACAGCCTCAAATGCAACTAGAGTAGTTGGTTTTCCCCTTTGTGGTCATGCCATTATTACAATAATGGGAATAGTGTTTTGCAGGTTTGTTTGTAGCATGTAGGGTCTACAATTCAGTAAGCCTGTTGATGGCTTTTCTCCCTCAGGTTGCATAGCCACATTTAGTACTAAGAAAGTGTAATGATTAAAGTCTCTTTATTCAAGAAGACACCAAGGCAAAACACAGGCCAGAGCTAGGTTATAGAACCCAGCAAGCTCGGCCAGAACAAAAGGGGCCCGGGTCCCCATGTGCAGCCCCTTAAGAAGCTCCCTTACGTCACCCCGGCTTTCCTTCACCAACGCCCTTATGGGCGAGTCCCGGGTCCACCTGATACCTGTCCCAGGACTATTGGGCGGGGCTAGGGTGTCTCCCCACAAGAAAGGTAGCCACCAGGGAGGAAATTTTCAACTTAGTCCCAACAGGATTTCTCCCAAAGTATGTGGAGTTTTCAGCAGTAGGATCGTCACATCTACTTCAGGTGGTAGGCACATTGCCCATGATGAACTTTTCAGCATACATCTTTCTGAGGTTTAACATTAGACAGTGGCCAAAGCAACCTCCCCAGCTCAGCTTCAGCCCACCAGGGTCAACTGGCAGCCACTTCTACTTCCTATTGTATTGGTGGCAATACCTCCTTCCACCCTGGGCTCCTGTAAAGACCCTTAGGTTCCAGGGATGCCAGTGCAGCAGTGTATGACAGAACCCACACCTTCCTGGGCTCTAGTTCTGCTTTGGCTTGTCCAAAAGTTGACAAGTGTTCATGGTTCTAGCCCTGGCAGTCCATTACCTCTGGACTAATATGTAACACCTGCAGTCTCAACAGCGGTCAGGATGTCTGAAGACCCTGCTCTTTACTGCTTGCTGCTTTTTTAAAATTTATTTTATTATGTGGATATGTGTATATCTGTGTGTGGATATATGCACATGAGTGCAGTGCCCTTAGTCAAAATGAGAGTGTTGAATCCCCTGGAGCTGGAGTTATGGGTAGTTGTGCACCCAATGTGGGTGCTGAGAAATGAACTTGGGTTCTCTGTAGGAGCAGTATATGGTCTTCTACACTGAGCTGACATCTCCCCAGCCCCTATCTGGGTAATTCTTATATTTAAATGCTTAAGCCATTGGAGAATGAACAACTGAAAGTGCCTATGCTACAGCCTCCTCTAATCCTTTTTCCTTCTCCCCACCTCCTTCTTCAGAGCCTCCTTCCTCTTCTTTCTCCTCTTTCTTCCCCTCCTCCTTCATCTTCTTGTTCTTTTCATTGTCTTGAGATGGTCTTATTCCCAGGATAGCCCCAGGCTCACTATCTAGTTAATTCTGTCCTTAGAATTCCTAATCCTCCTGATTCAACTTCTGAAGTGCTGGAATTACAGATGTATGCCTGGGTATGTATTTTAGGGTTTGTCTCAAAACGTAAAGTGCTGAAAGTTGGGTATCATAGTCTGTACCACCTACTGAGGAGACAGAAGAAGGAGGAACATTTGAACCCTAGAGTTTGGAGCTAGTAGAACATACAAGATTCCATCTCAAAATTAATGATAAATAAACAAACAAATATCCTAGTTTGCTAATATGTTGCTGTGATAAAGCATTATTACCAAAAGCAACTTTGGGGGACAGGGAGTTTATTTCAGTTACAGATTACAGTCCATCATGGAGGTTAGTCAGGGCAGGAGCTCAAGGCAGGAACCTGGAGGCAAGAACTGAAGCCAGGCTCACACAGCACAGGCCCACCTACAGCAGAATGGTACCACCCACAGTGGGCTGGGCCCTCGGATGTCAATTAACAGTCAAGAAAATGCCCCACAGGCCAGGCTGATGGAGGTAGGTTTTAGGCTGAGGGTCCCTCTTCCCACTTCCCAGGTGCATAAAATTGACAAGATAGGCTATCACAATGAATGAAAGAGGGAGGAAGAGTGGGAGGAAGGCAGGCAGGCTGGCTAGCCCTGTGATCAGAGACTGCATTGTAGACTTAGAAATGGTAGGGAAGTCAACAAGGTAGCTTGGTAGGTAAAGGCACTTGCTGCCAGGTCAGTGAAGGAAGAGACCTGACTCTTACAAGTTGTCTTCTGAGCTCCATAGGTGCACCATGGCACAGGCAAATAAGTAAATGCAAAGAAAAATGTCATAAATTAATGATAAGGACAAGTCCCATTCAAGTAGCAGCTAATGGCCTTTCCCCCAACATTGGCCTGTGGTTAGTTTTCTGAATCTCAATATGTGTAAGAAGCCCTGAACCCTGTTTTTAGTCTTCTCCTTTTATTGCCATTCATAATTTAAATCTCATTATTACACTGTCTCAAATGGTAGCCCCAATGGAGGTAGTGTGTTTGTTTTGGTTTGGGTTTGTTTGTTTTGGTATAGGTATGTACATGTTTATGCAGCTGCACATGTGTGCAGATGTAAGCTAGAATTCACAGTAGATACCATTGTCTACCTTTTTGAATTTTATTTTTTTATTTTTCAAGACAGGGTTTCTCTGTGTAGCTTTAATAGACCAGGCTGGCCTCGAACTCACAGAGCTTCGCCTGCCTCCACCTTCCGAGTGCTGGAATTAAAGGTGTGCGCCCCCAACATCCAGCTAGCTTTTGAAATTTTTATTTCTTCATATATCTTTCTGTATATGTGCATGACACAGCACTCCTGTAGAGGTCAGAGGACATGTGGGTGTCTGTGCTCTCCTATCTGAGATCCCAGAAATTATACTCCAGTCATCAGCCTCATTGTCAAGTGCCTCTATGGGCTGAGCCATTTCTCCAGCCTCCACCATAGTTTTTGAAACAAAGTCTTTCACTGACACTAAAGCTCACAGATTGCTAAACTGGTTGGCTTTAGAGCCCCAGGGTTCTTCCAGTCTCTGCCTCCCCAGCACTAAGCTTGCAGACATAAACCATTATGGCCAGGTTTTTTGGGTAGAGGGGATCTGAACTTGGGTCCTCATGCTTACACAGCACTTTATTGATTGAGCCATCGCCTCACCCAGAAACTGTTTTGTCTGGAAAAGTTCCTGGTTGATGATAATCAGAACCTCAAGGTCAACAAAACAGAAATGAGGCAGGAGAGTGTGGATGGTTGTGTCCAGGAGCTTGGAGGGCATTCAGTATGTGCTGGGCATCTATGCTTTTCCTTAAGTAAATGTAAAAGTTTTTATTGAGATACTGGCTTCTGTCAGCCTGGTGTAATTAATTCCTCACATTGAACTGTTTTTTTGCCTGGCAGCTGA